CCCAGACCCACCCATACCCATGAACCTGTTTTCCTTGAGATATCACCACACAGAACATGATTCATTAAACCTTATAAAATGTCTAAAATGGTACAAGAATTGATATTAAAAATATGTATTTAACCCATCACACACAACAAGATATTTTTTAAAGACAGAGTGTTATTTTACCCAGGGTGTTATTTTTTTTAAAGACAGAGTGTTATTTAAAGACAGAGTGTTATTCAAACTCAACTACATAGGTGACCTTGAGCTTCTGATCCTCTTGTCTTGATATCTTGAGTGCCAGGATTACAATGAGCGCACACTATCACATCTGTTTTACATGGTGTTGGAAATTGAACCTGGGGCTTTGGTTTTGTTCATGCTGGGCAAGCAATCTCCCAACTGAGCTACATCCCCAGCCATCATTACAGATTTTTACCGTCAGGAAAAATATCTGTCGAGATAGAAAGATGGCTCAGTGGCTAATGTTCTTCCAGAGGACCGAGTTAGGTTCCTAACTGCCTTTTCCAGATGGTTCACAACCTCCTGTAACTCTAGCACCAGGTGATCCAATGTTCTCTTCTGTCCTCTGTGAGCACCTGCACTCATGTGCACACACACACACAGATAGAGACAGACAGACAGACACAGAGACAGAGACAGACACACATACAGAGACACACACACTCACACATAGACATAATTGGTTTAGTTCATGTCTTAAGCAGAAGGAAAGGTCTCCACCGGTCCTCAGGCCAAGCTCTGACCTCAGCCACATGCTGCTAATTCTTGCTGATATGACATGTAATGTGCACTGTTTCCTAAGAGGGAAGACACCCTTTTGGATGTAATCTAGTCGCCCCTGTTGTCTCCAGTGCTCTTAGGTGACTTGATCTGTTATGACATGATCCTGCTGCTCCTAAAGCTGTGCATTACAGAAACTCAGAATTCCTGCCACAGAGGGTGAATGAGAACATCGGGTCAGAGGCAGGGTCACGTCTGAGCTGTTTTTACAGAACAGAGCCTGACTCTTCTCCACAAAAGCTGCTGCATATCTCTCTGTGGTCAAGGATACTCCCATAACCCATACTGTGACAGAAGAGCGGTCCCATCTTTCCTTCCAATGTCCTCCCCACTGTCTGTCACAGTCTATTTTAGCCCCACATTGAACTTCCAGCAGATTAAGGACAGTCAAGAGAACTGTGTCAGCCGGAGCTGGAGGATCCCTAGGGGGGATCATCTTTCTAGGTTCCAGACCCTTTAAGCCAATGGTTCTCAACCTTCCTAACATTGTGACCCATTAATATAGTTCCTCATGTTGTGGTGATCCAACCATAGAATTTTTTTGTTGCCACTTCATAACTATAATTTTGCTACTGAACGGTGTCTCTGTTCCTAAAACCATCGGAAATACGTATTTTCTGATGGTCACATCCCACAGATTGAGAACCAATGCTTTAAAGAGAAAGCCCTGCCCTGACCATACCAAACACTACTGAGAGTGCGCAGTAGCTGGAGGTCTCATCCATGGCTGGAGGAGATGTCCAACAGGACAACCTGGAGAACATTGTGGGCTATCTCACGAAACCACCAAACTGTGACTCCAGTGTGGTAAGGAGTAGAGACCGGAGCATGACTGCAGCTTTTTCCTTTGTTTTCACTGTGTGATCTCCCATAAAGTACAATTAGATGTTTTGTTTCTCAAACAAATGGTGGAGGCTAGCAGTGGTAGCGCACGCCTTTAATCCCAGCACCCCGGAGGCAGAAGCAGGCGGATCTCTGAGCTGGATGCCAGCCTGGTCTACAGAGTGAGATCCAGGGCAGTCAGGGCAGTTACACAGAGAGAGAAAAAAGTAAGTGAAAGCTCTAACCAGGCCACAGGCCACACCCTATTCTTTCACCTTCATCATCCGAGAGGCTGGGTTAAGTGTCCATCCTAGATCCACTACAGTAGTCAGGGAGACACCGTATTAACAGTGTGGCTCAGATGAGTAGAGCCAACCCAACTCAAACCCAACGACCCCAAGGAGTAGGAAAATTAGTGCTCTCCTGAGGAAAGTGAAGGAATTATTATCAGAAGACAGTGATGGCTGCCCGCCGAGAAGGCGGAAGCCTTGCTGCCTGACTGAGGAGACAGCCCAGCAGGAAGGCTGTTATCTAACCCAGCTAGCAAATTGCCCCTGGGGACCCAGCTGTCTCTAAAGAAAACACAATGGCTCTCTGCCAAAGCTACCACAACTACCTAGGGCTCATTCTCTAGTGGCTGGTTATCCCACAGAACTCCACCCAGTGAAAACACGAAACTCTCTCACCTACCTAACTGCTAAAGCTCCTGGAACCTTCCGTGGCTGGAATCCTACCCACAATGCAGCAGCTGCTTCTCCTGGAGTTTCCATTCCCGGTGCTGTGTCTTCATCTGATGAAGATGCTTGGCTTTCTGCTCTCCCTGAGAAGGGTCACCCGTGGTTTGGGGATGAGTTAGAAGTCTCCTCACCAGAGAGCTTGGCTCCATGTCCCCTTTGTCATTTTTGGCCTCTGCTCCTAGGGCATTACAGGTGCCTGCACTCACAGGGGGTGAAGAGGCACCATTACTGCTTTCCCAGCTATTGGTGACAAGTACCTCTGCTGCAGGTGACAAGGCTCTTTCTAGGGTGACATTCACCAGTCAAATTCCATAGGCGATGTGACCTGTCAGCCTTCCTTGCTGCCCAGCTGATGAACACTGTGCAAGTGCAGCAACCCTACCTTAAAGCAATTTGCTTCTTTTACCAAAGAAAGTGCTATTTTTTTAAAGGATGAATGGAACATAACCTTTGATACAGCATTCCCATTTCTAAGTATTTATCATAAGGAAATTATCACAGACTTGCATGGAGATGTGTGCACAGTGTTGTTCACTGAGGCACTCTCCTTAACAGTGGAAAAAGGGCAACAGCCTCAATCCCCCGTCAGAGACGGAAAGTCTATAGACAGGATGGCCTCAGCTGAGTGACGAGACCTTTGGCGACATTTAAAAGTCACAATCAATAACTTGGGTAGGTGTCCACCCAAGTAAGTGGAGGAGAGGGCTCGAAAGTGATGTTTCCAACTTGTTTTTCTGAAGCGTGACTCTGGGTGTTTAAACACATGCAGAAAAAGACTTACAGGAAAATTCTAACTATGGTTGCTGACTTTTAAATCCTATATATGAAAAGCCAGCATCTCCATCCTTAGTGAGACGGGAAACCCCTACACAGATCCCCACAGCAAGAGCTTTGTCCAAATCAGACCCAATACACAACATCTGTTTTGAAGAAATATGCTTCTATTAACTGGGCTCCAGCGGACAATTGAATTTTTTTAAAGCATGAATATTAGCCCTGAACATGGTTTTATTGGTGGCAAAAAAAAGAAAGAATTTTTTTAATGCTATAATGTTGGGAAAAGGACCAAGTCTCAAAACCAGAAGGAGGTTTGTGAAGCCAAGAGTCCCAGCTTGGACATAAAAGCCAGAGGCAGGCCTCCCACAGAGCTGGGTAGACATGGTTCCTCCTCCATTGCCCTGGTTGCAGCCTATTGTCTCTCTGACAGTGAGGTTCCCAAGGACGAAATGTGGGGTACACATGAGGTTCCAGAGCCCTGCCAAGCCTAAGGTTCACTCAAATTGGACCAAAACAAAAGAGGGAAGAGATGTTGGGCCTCTGACAGCCTGTGCACAATCTCAAGGATGAAACTTCCCAGGTAGAAATCTGAACCTCTTCGAAATGAGGGTTTTCACTCTCGCTGGGCAGCGTTTTTTGTTTCTTTTTTCCTGGTTTTCATTATTTCTTAAACTTCAGCATTTTTTAAAACTTGGAGTTGATGCATGGAACTCGGGAGATAGAGGCGGACAGATCAGAAGGTCAGTGTAAAAAAAAAAGCATTTTAATATCTTTTACCCATTCTCTTAAGCACTGTTATTTTGTGTTAACTTACTTTACCAAACATACCGGATTGTCTGTGGGGGAAGTGGGGAGACTGACATGATAGACGGTAGCTCAGCTAGCTGTTGCTGTGTTTTGATGTTCCTTAATTATATGTGTACACAGCAACTCTAATAGCCCCAGTAGAGACACGGGGCTTGGCCAGAGTCCCTCAACACTATCACAAAAACAGGGATGAAAACTTCTAAAGGAAGAGTTATAAATCAGTGACGAGAATAGATCATATTTTTTAAAATCTGCCATACAGAACATAAGACATCCTAATCACTGCATCTATAATTACAGAGCAGAGTAAATCACTAACAAAAATGAAGTGTCTTCAGTATGATAAAGAAGAATAATTAACTTTTAATTCAAAGCTGCCATCTCAGTGTTGGATGATTCAGGCTAACCCTCGGGATTGGCAAGGAGCAGAGAGGAGACCGACTTCCAAAAGAGACCCCAGTGGACCACAGTGGGAACTCTATCTTATTGCTTTCCACAGCAAGACAAATAAATGAGCGGCTGAAATAATCAGGAATGACAGCACCTCTGTGAAATTACTCACACTTTACTGATAGAGTAGCCATCTGCTCTACCTCAGACACCCTCGGCCAGGAGGAAGCTTGTGTTTCCTAATGGGCACAGACTGACTTCACCTCCACAGCTGCTAGTGTGGGCTCGAGACAGCCTGCTGGCCCAGCTGCAGCCAAGAAAGCTGGGAGGTTAGGGATGGGAGAGGGTTAGGGAGGGCTAGGGAGGTCAGAAGTGAGAGAAGTCAGCCCCTGAACTACTGCTCCACAGGGAACAAGGCAAGCACAGGAGAGATTGAGCAAGTCACCTGCCCCCACCCCCCTACACAGGTGCTCCCCTCACGGAGGGTGCTGCTCCACAGGGCTGGAACCCAGAAACACTGGCCACCCCTGCCTGGAGCCCAACTCTCTGCCCTTGCTGGTGGCCCAACTCTCCCCTAAGGAGATAACAACCTGGGGACAGAACCTAGTCTTGCCACCATCCCCTAGGATTATCTTGGGCAATGCGCTTAACTTTTTCCCATGTTTCCTTTCTTTGCAGGCAAGCCAAGACTCAAGATTGGGAAACAGGAGATCATGATGAGCCTGTATGTAAGCAGGAGGAGCCACTGGCATCATGGGAAAAAATGAGGAAGGCCATGGAGATAGAACTAAGAGCCTCACGAATGGTCAGCAAGCACTCCACCATGAAGCACCAACCTCCCTAGGCTCCTAAACTATGCTGTTGTTGAAAACAGGAGAACAATTCTCTGAGTCTCCACTGTAAGCTGTCCTCAGGCAGCAGCAGGCAAACAGCAAACTCGCCGATGTAAAGGTTAGCTGTCTATCGTATTTCCTTTTCTCGTTTCTGTGACTAAATCGCTGAGAAGCAACAACTTAAGGGAGGGTTTATTTTGGCTCCCAGCTCAAGGGGTCATCGGCACTCCTAGTGGATTTTGTACTGGACTGTCCTCTGAGCCGAATGGCCGTCTTCAGCTTGGGGGAGGGGGGTTGCAAATGATGTCCACAGCTGGGCTTGACTGTTAATGGTCCCTCACAGACAAAGCAACGGAGAGGGCAAAGAACACCTCACTGGAGTATCCAGCTGCGCCTCCAAACCAGGTGTACTCAAGCCTAACCTAATTGCACATGACCTCATGGAGGGACTAAAAGTATACAGACAGGGAAGACTGGGCTGAGGACTCCATCTGTGCAACCACAGGGGAGTCATCATCCATACGGATGCAGGCCTTCCAGTGTAGCTGGTTTAAGGCCACCCATGCTCCTGCTTATAAGCCCCATTACTCTTTAAAAACACATTGGTTCCCCAGAGTGAGCTTTGATGGAACAGTACCTCAGTTTGTCCTTGGGACCTTTGGAGAAGAGATACACATTGTTTATGTCTCCCTGAGGAGAGGAATTTGAATAGCAGGCTTAGTAGCAGGAGTGAACACATCTGGTCGCTCAGCTATCGGAAAGCAAAGTGAACAGGAAGTGGGGTACGGCTATAAAACCTCAGGGCCTGGGTCAGTGAGATGGCTCAGTGGCAGAGGCACTTGCGTGCAAGTTTAGTGGCCTGACTTCAATTCCGGATCTCACAATCCCACCTAAAGGTGGAAGGAGAGATGGACTTCAAAAATGCATTGTGGGGGCTGGAGAGATGGTTCAGTGGTTAGGAGCACTGGCTGCTTTTCCGCAGGACCCAGGTGCAACACCCAGTACCTACATGGCAGCTCACAACTATATGTAACTCAGGTTCCAGGGGATCTGACACCTTCACACCGATGCACATAAAATGAATAAATAATTTTTTAAAATGCATTGTGAAAAAAAAAGCTGGGCAGTGGTGGCACATGCCTTTAATCCTAGCACTCTGGAGGCAGAGGTAGGCAGATCTCTGTGAGTTCGAGGGCAGCCTGGTCTACACAGTGAGTTCCAGGACAACCAAGGCTACACAGAGAAACCCTGTCTTGAAAAACCAAAAGAAAAACTAAAAATAAAAAAATGCATTATGGCACAGCATGCCCGTTCCCCACACATGCATGCCATACATACACAATAACAATAAATGAAGTTTAAAAAAACAAAAACAAAAAAGCAACTACTTACTTTTTCCAGTAAGGCTCCAACCTCCTGAAGGTCCCACCATCTTCCCAGACAATGCCACCAGCTGGGGACCAAGTGCTCAAACCCATGAGCCCATGGGAGACATTTCAGATTCAAACCCCGACCGAATCCTAGAAGTTGGGAGAATTCAAATCCAGACCCAGCTCTCCCTGATGCCTTCATGAACGTGAACAAGAACACCTGCCACGCTGGGCAGGGGTGGCACACACCTTTAATCCCAGCACTCAAGAGGCAGAGGCAGGTGGGTCTCTGTGAGTTCGAGACCAGCCTGGTCTACAAGAGCTAGTTCCAGGACAGCCTCAAAAAAAAAAAAAAAAAAAAAAAAAAAAAAAACCTGCCTTTTGAAGCTTCAATCTCAACTGCACTGAAAGCTTTTGACTCTTCAACATCTCTTCCACCTTTTTCTAGATCATACCAGGTGCAGGGCCATCCTGTTAGTTAGTTTGCTTATTAGCATAGATTCCTGGGCCACATTCACAGAGATGCTAACTTTTCTTTTCCCTGAGACAGGGTTTCTCTCTGTAGACCTGGCTGTCCTGGAACTCTCTCTGTAGACCAGGCTGGCCTTGAACTCAGAAATCCACCTGCCTCTGCTTGTGCCTCCCTAGTGCTGGGATTAAGGGCATGTGCTACCACAACCCAGCAGTCAGAGGTGCTCAGATGTCTGCTTGTACCACAAGATGACACATATCACACAAGGGTCAAGAAGTGTCAATCCCTCCAGGAGACAGAGACAGCCCCTCTGGAGAGCCATGAAACACCCAGCATCGTACCCCATCAGTGAGACTCCCATATGGCCCTCTGACAGCTTTGAAAAGCCCTAGACACCATTGTATACTCCAAGACCACCTCCCTGGGCTCAGACACAGCTCTTAACTTCCTGGCTTCTTCCTGCCCTTACCCAAAGCTGACAGCTCCAAGAGCACTGGCTGCACTGTCCCCTCCCCCATCACAGTGATGAGGGCTCCTGGGCCACGCCCATCCCACCCTCTCTTGATTCCAGTTGTAGTGGTCCCAGGACTCAATGAGCCAGAAGTGGCCAGACACAGAGTATTCAAGAGCAAGGTCTAGGTTCACTCCAATTCTAGGTACTTGTCACAGCTCCTGTTTCTCTGATGGGGGCATGCAGACCCAGCTGGCTTTCTGCTGGATCCAGGTTCCCAGGACCTTAGGGTGACATCAACCTCAGCAGCCAGGTAGGTTAGCCCTTCCCCATTGCCTATCAGCCATGCCCACTCCCCTCCCAAGACAGGGTTTATTTGTGTAGCTTTGGAGCTTGTCCTGCAACTCTCTCTGTAGACCAGGCTGGCCTCGAACTCACAGAGATCCACCCTCCTCTGCCTACCAAGTGCTGGAATTAAAGGTGTGTGCTACCACCATCTGGCACCTACCAGCTTTTTGACCTTGGCCATGGACTCAGTTTGAAGATATAGTCCATCATGGTGGGAAAGACATGGGTTGCAGAGATGTAAGACAGGAAGCAGAGAAGAATTCTGGCACGGGGCTCAAATTCTTATTTTCATTTAGGCCATGGGTTGGTGCTGCCAACATTTAAGATGGGTGTTTGTTCACACTTAACTCAGTCTAGAAAATCCCTCACAGACACACCCAGGGTCTCCTAAGAGATGTCAAGTTGACAGTTAACCATTACATAGCACAAGAAAGGACCTTGCCCACAAATCGACAGCTTGCAGGCTTTGGCAGAGTTGGGTATGAGCTCGGGTCTGCTGATTGAAGCCTCCGAGTCACCTTGGCAATGGGAAGCCGGGGGCTGACTCTCTGATGGGGGTGTTGGTGGTGAGAGCTAGGTCTACAACTCAATTCTTGTCTACCCCCTCTCCTGCTCAGATGGCAGCACAGGCTGACGTGCCTCGGAGCCACAGCCAGGTCAGCCCTCTTCTGCCTTTCTCCAGAGGGAAGACTGAACTTGGTATCACAGGGTCTCCCACCCAGTTTCATAAATAACCACCACTCTCCCCAGAAACCCTGTGAATCTGACCTCCCAGTGTGGAGTCCACAGTTCAAGCCAAAGCCTTCCGTTCACCAAGAACAAGCTCTGCCCTTTCCCCCTACTAGGCTGCTTCTGCAACCTCATCTGTTTGACTTCCTTTCTCTCAAGGAACTTACAATTTAATCAGGAGTGCCTAATAGTACACACATTCTAAATTGCAATCATTCATTGTATCTAGCCTCGGGCTTTTCTGTCTGTTAGAAATATCAGGGTTATTTCCTTCTTTTAAGAGTTTATGTTACAAAAAAAGGAAAAAAACCAACAAACTTTACAAATAATGTTTGCTGTTTAATGTTCTCTCCTGAAATATCAATCTGTGGAAAAAATAGAAACTCCTTTTTTACAATTCATCTTTAGGATGGAGTTCCAGTTTCTTATAATGTAATGAATGTACTGCAGATAATGGTCCAACCGTGCAAATGAAAGGCACATATAATCAAAATGATAATGGAGCGTATTGTACTGCTTGTATAATAAAATCCATACCAATATGGAAATCATATCTCAAGGCAACATTCCTCTCTTTGATTTTTGTAGTAATTGTGCATGTAAGAGCAGGGCAGTGAGAAGTGGGGAAACTAGGTTCTTTATTGCTTCATTAGGCAGCTGGCGTTCCGACGGTCCAGCTTGTCAACAGCTATCCCTTAATTTTCAAAGGAACTTACCCTCTACTCGCCATAATGATTTACGGCTCACGGCTGCTTTCTCTTCAGCCCTCTCTCTGTGAAGAGGCACAGTGAGAGGAAATGGGATGGCAGGGGCCCTTTGGACTGGCAACTTCTGCTTGCTCTGGGGTTTGGGTCAAATGGAAGCTAGGTCCTCTCTGGGGCCTGAGAGAGCTTCAGGATGGATGTGGCCCCCCGATCAGTGTGCTGATCTGAGCCTCAAGGTGTGGATGGTCAGCACACACCAGCTGGTGAGAATTGCTGCCTCCCATTGGTCCAGGCACTTGCTTCAAGTATGTCCTTGGTTTTGACCTCTCTTTGCTTCAGGTCTTTGCAAGCCTTTCCCCCATTTCTTTTTCAACTAACTAGGGCATGCTTTATCGTGTGGGTAGTCTGGGTGGGTAGAGGAAGACCTGATGGGGATTCGGGGCGGGGTGGTCTGAAGGATAACCTTAAGAGGCTGGGTGAAGCTTTGGGAGAGAGTGAGCCTTGTTTGGTGTTTTCCCTAGCAGTGCCTCCATTAGACTCATACTCCAGATATTCTTCTAGGGTTCCTGACCCCAGCCAGTCCCAGTGTGTTCAGCCACATTTCCACTTGACCCCTTTTTGTTCATGTTCACGATTCCTCCAAATCTTTGGGCATTAATGTGGCAAACCTGCTTTGCAGGACCCCTGTGGGCCATTGAGACCACTTCTTCCTGGGTTAGTGTGGGGTTCGGTTGAAGGCAATAGCCATCTATGCCTGCTGGCTGGTGGGACTGTAATTGTACCTGTGGATCCTCAACCAGCCCCTCCAGGTGGGTGCTTTTTATTCCCTCTCTATACATAAGCACACCGAGACCTTGAACAAGGTTATAGAGATGGTAGGTAATGGGAAGGGTTGACCTAACTGGTTACTGAGGTTGATGTTACCCCAGGGTCCTGGGAACCTGGATCCAGCAGAAAGCCAGCTGGGTCTGCATGCCCCCATCAGAGAAACAGGAGCTGTGACAAGTACCTAGAATTGGAGTGAACCTAGACCTTGCTCTTGAATACTCTGTGTCTGGCCACTTCTGGCTCATTGAGTCCTGGGACCACTACAACTGGAATCAAGAGAGGGTGGGATGGGCGTGGCCCAGGAGCCCTCATCACTGTGATGGGGGAGGGGACAGTGCAGCCAGTGCTCTTGGAGCTGTCAGCTTTGGGTAAGGGCAGGAAGAAGCCAGGAAGTTAAGAGCTGTGTCTGAGCCCAGGGAAGTGGTCTTGGAGTACACAATGGTGTCTAGGGCTTTTCAAAGCTGTCAGAGGGCCATATGGGAGTCTCACTGATGGGGTACGATGCTGGGTGTTTCATGGTTCTCCAGAAGGGCTGTCTCTGTCTCCTGGAGGGAGTGTTACTTCCTGGTCACAGCAAAATAAACCCTTCCATCTTTAAGTTGTTTTGGCTAGGTATTTTGTAGCAATACAACACAAATAAAAACCTAATACACAAAATCTCTGTGTTCCCTTTTGATAAAATGTGGTCAGTAAAATACTTTATCTGGTTAGTTCACAGGTACCTAAGGAAGGCCAACACAGCTATTGGTGGGAACATCCTTGAAAAGTATCAATTCATATATTAATAAAATGATATGAACCAGGCTGGGGATAGTAGACAACACCTGTAATTCCAGCACTGGGGAAGCTGCAGCAGAAGAGTCACAAGTTCAAGACCAGCCTTGGCTCTACAGCGTAAATGGAATTTTTTTCTCCTGTCTGCCAGTTCCTAAGTAACCTCTTAGAGGCTTAAATTAATTACAAACGCTTGTCCGATAGCTAAGTCTTATTATTAGGTAGCTCTCACGTTTACATTAACCCATTTCTGTTAATCTATGTATTACCTCTAGCATCGTGTTTCCCCAGCCACTGGCCGGCATCTCCCTCGGCTCCCCCCCTTCTTCCCCCCCAGCATTTTCAGTTTGGCTTTCCCTGCCTACCTTTATTCTGCCTTGCTATGGGCCAGTCAGCTTTTTTTTTTTCAACTAACCAATGAGAGTAATGCGTATTCACAGGTACAGAAGGATTATCCCACAGCGATACAGTGAGACCCTTCATTTCTGTCACTGTGATAAAGCACCCTGACCAGAAGCAATGGAGGAAATGGAGGACAGGGTTTGTTTTAACTTACAATTCCAGGTTACATGCACTCCTGGGAATTAAAGGCAGAAACTTAATGCATAGCATCCATAGTCACAAACAGAGAGAACCAACTCATGGATCCTTGCCGGCCGCCATGCCTGCTCAGCCCGCCTCCTTCTCCCTTTTACAGTTCAGGGCTCAGCCCATGAAATGGTGCCACCCACATTCAGGATGGACCTTCTCACCTTAGTCAGCAATCAAGACAGGCCCCCACCCTCACACCCACAGGCCAACCTGATCTAGACAAATCCCCATAAGACTCTCTTCCCAAGTGACTCCAGATTGTGTCTAGTTGATAGTTAAAACTAGGGGCCAGCAGTTAAGAATACTGACTACTCTTGCAGAGGACCCAGGTTCAGTTCCTAGCATCCACATGATGGCTCACAACCATCCCTAACTCCAGCTCATCATCTGACCTCCACAGGCATCTGCATGTAAGAGGCATACATACATACATATAGGTGCATATGCATACACATAAAATAAAAATTAAAAAATACAAAGAACACTACCCAGCACAATCCTAACTCAAAAAGCAAGAAAGCCAAAACATAAGAACATGTGTTATCTCAAACCTTATGACTGTTTCCTTACTCAAACCAGCTACTGAACAGCATCCTTGTCATCAGGCTCATCTCAAACATCACTTCCTTTGTGACACTCTCCTTGACACCCACGTCAGAAGGCCCCAGCCTCTCTCACTCTGTCAATCACACTTTCCACTCATGCTGTCCAATTAGAGAGGAATTTTTCAAACTTCAGGTCACTGTATATTAGTTATACATTATATAGCTAATTTGCTATATATTACATATAATTATGTATATACTACATACATATTATACTATATACTATATACATATAATATACATAATTATATTTAATATTATATCATATATACACACTCATATTAGTAGAGGGCCATGAGATCAACTTTTCAGATGGCAAACAGCATTTTGTTTTTCTTTCAACACAGTAGACTACAATAGAAATACCAACACACTGTGCTGTTGTGTGGTATTTTGATCATATTCTGACAATAAGATTTGTGTTGAGTCAGAGGGTGGAGCTAGCCACTAGCTGACCAAAATTAACCATAGAGGCTTTGAAAGACTGAGGACAGATAGACACAGGAAGTAGTAAGGTGGAGCTGAGAGAGGAGTTCAGCTTTTTGGATGGAGGAACGGAAGAGATAGAAGGTCACTGGTGGCTACTCTGCTGCTTCTCTGATCATTCAGCTTCTTACACCAATATCTGACTCCTGATTTCTATTGATAAAGAATGATTAGATGAATGTTTCACTGTGTAAGGCAGAAATGAACACTGTAAAATGTGACATGTGAGTACTCCGATTATTTGAGCATAGTTCTTATTGAGAAGCATAGGAATGTAGACAAGATGAACCTTTTGCCAATGGATCAAGGCTAAAAAGTTGGTAAACCAGGGATGGGACCATAGCTCAGGGGTCAAGCACTTTCCTAATATGTATGAGATCCTAGGTTCAATCCTCAGTACTGGGGGGGGAACCATTAACTGGAGGTTGCCCTGCAATACTTTACAGGCTAAGGAGATGACTTAGTGGGTAAAAGTCTTGCTGAGCAAGCATCAAGATCCCTAGAGCCCACATGAAAGCCAGGCACAATAGTGTATCTGTCATTCCAGTGTTCCTACAACAGTGTGGAAGACAGACAAAAGGTTTCCCAGAAGCCTATGGATTAGCTAGGTCATTGTTATATATAGCTTCAAGAAGCAAAGACCACTCTTGTCTTAGTTAGAGTTTCTATTGCTGTGAAGAGACACCATGACCATGACAACTCTTATAAAGGAAAACATTTAACTGTGGTGGCTATTTTACATTTCAGAGGTTCAGTCCATTATGATCATGGAGGAAAGCAAGGCAGCACGCAGCAGACACCGTGCTAGAGAAGGAGCTGCGAGTTCTATATCTTGATCCACAGGCAGCAGGAAGTGGTCTGACTTACTGGGTGTGGCTTGAGCATATCTGAGACCTCAAAGCCCACCTCCACAGTAACATACTTCAATAAGGCAACACCCACTCAAACAGGCCAAACCTCCTAATAGTGCCATTCCCTTTGGGGGCCATTTTCTTTCAAGCCACCATTCCTTTCAACCAAGGTAGAAAGTGACAACTGACACCTGAGATGGCCAGCCGACCTTCTACATGCTTGCTGTGGCACCCATGCTAACACACATGATTATATGTACACACATACATGACACCAAAAAAATGTTTTTTTTTGCTTTGTTTGGAGTTGGAAGGCCTGCCTTGATCTAAACTTCCTAGGAACAAAGCTTTGATGACAAGTTTTATGTTCATCCCTTCAGAGCACAAAACCCAGTCCCTGAGTTACAGAAGGAACTGAGTGTATGTTGAATGAATCTTAGTTATTACCATAGTTATTAAATGATTATATAGCTTTCAACTTCAACCTAAGGACAGCAAGGAAAAGTATAACTATTGTCTCTGGCTAAAAACTGAACCAATGGGAAGAGTCATATCTGTGCTACCTTCTCCTACAAGAAACCAATAGCATGCTATTTTGTTTGGATTTTAGTTATCTTTCTTCAAAACAAGGTCTCATATGGACCAGCTGGCCTTGAACTCACTGTGTAGCCCAAGATGACTTTGGCCTCCTGATCCTCCTGCCTCCACCATTCAAGTGCTGGGGCTGCAGTTAGGCTTCTACCACATCCACATTACAATTAGTGCTCTTTAGGAAGCTTCTCCACCTACACGAAGAATCATGCAGCTACTCCTGTCCTGTTAACTGCGAGCCTCAGAGAACTAATGTCTGCTTCTTCCATCAGTCACCGTGGTCCACTTGGCCGTGGATGGGGCTGACACGGTCTTTAGAAGATCCTTTTATATACTGTGATATTGATTTTTAAAACATTTTTAGTCGACACAATGAAAAGCACACCCAGGGGGTCTTCCTTCAAATCTAGAGTTAAAAATCCATATCTTAACTCCTTACTGTCCGGAGCCTCCCTGGACCACAGTGGCTCTGAGGACTGCACTGCGGGGGGTGGGGGGCGTCTACTCATGTGGTTTTTTTTAACCCTTCTTAAGATACAGTCATTGATTTTTGAATAAACATTTTCATCGTCCCATTTCCTAATTGCTTGACATAAAACCTGCTGGGGTGAGTTGCATGTTGATCTTTGCTTCATTTAAGGAAGAAAAAAAAAGAAGACAGAAAGAAAAGGCCTGGAGTGTTATTGTTCGGGCTCGTAGCTTTCTATTTACGTGTACCCGCATCTCCTAGACAAGTTCATCCATTACTTTAATGCCCACTCAATGTGGCACTGAATGGTGATTTCTGTGAGATGGTTCATGCACCCTTTTAGTTCTTGGTGCAAATCTTTGAAAATATTGTGTGTGTGTGTGAGGGGGGGGGGGAGGGAGAGAGAGACAGAGAGACAGAGAGGTGTGTGTGTGAGAGAGACAGAGACAGAGAGAGAGAGAGAGCGAGCCTGCATGTACACAGCAACATGTGTATGGAAGTCAGAGAATGACTTTGGAGGTCAGGAATTGGTCCTCTCTTTCTACTGTGTGGGTCCAGAGGATCAAACTCCGGTTGTCAGCCATAGCAGCAAGTGCCTTTCTTTTACCTGAAGAGCCATCTCAGCAGCCCCTCATGGTGTCAGTCTTGATGAGAGCCTTAAGTGAAGGCTCCCAACCTCCTAGGCTAAGGTCAATGTGAGGGAGTGGTCTCCATGGTTCCTGGAAAAGGTAGGGCCTGGATGGGGTGGGCGTGGTCAGAGAGAAGCAGTCTGGCTCTAGCCTTTTTCTATGAAGAGACGGATAGCAGGGCTGGGATGTAGTTCATGTGTGCAGCGCTTGCCCAATGTGCATAAAACCTTCAGTTTCCCCTCTGGCACTGTGTGAAGTGAGTGTGGCAGGCACACTCACAACCCCAGCACTCAGGAGATGAACCTGCTGCATAGTGAGTGCAAAGGAACCTGCTAGTAAATATTTTAGGCTTCTCGAAAATTTTTATTGATGAATTTCAGTCCATCAGTGGGATTCCTAATGTGTTTCTATAACCCTGGTGGAAGGCTCAGAAGAACAGGTTGTATTAATGTTCCCTATCATAACAAGAATTGCCAGTGTTCATCTACAAAACTTTTTTTATCTTTTGAGACAGGGTTTCTCATGTAAAAGTCATGGAACTTGCTTTGCAGACCAGGCTGGTCTCGAACTCATAGAGATCCACCTGCCTCTGCCTCCCAAGGGCTGGGATTGAAGGCCTGTTCCACTACTGCCCAGCTACAAAGCCATTCTTATCTTTAATAACTGGTCCAAAACTGTGGCCCTGGCCTGAGCGTGCATAGTTCAAAGGAAACTCAAAGTTGGGCTAAATACATTTTGCATTATGATTTGACCATGAGCCTATGGGGGCAGGAACTGGATATGGCAGTTTGAATGAGAAAA